TAAAAGCTTCCAAAGAAGGAGCCTCCACCACACTCTGGGGCAGAGAGTTCCACTGCTGAACGGCTCTCACAGTCAGGAAGTTCTTCCTTCAGATGGAATCTCCTTTCTTGTAGTTTGAAGCCATTGTTCCGTGTCCTAGTCTCCAGGAAGCAGAAAACAAGCTTGCTCCCTCCTCCCTGTGATTTCCTCTCACATATTTATACATGGCTATCATATCTCCTCTCAGCCTTCTCTTCTTCAGGCTAAACATGCCCAGCTCCTTAAGCCGCTCCTCATAGGGCTTGTTCTCCAGACCCTTGATCATTTTAGTCGCTCTCCTCTGGACACATTCCAGCTTGTCAATATCTCTCTTGAATTGTGCCCAGAATTGGACACAATATTCCAGGTGTGGTCTAACCAAAGCAGAATATAGGGGTAGCATTACTTCCCTAGATCTAGACACTATGCTCCTATTGATGCAGGCCAAAATCCCATTGGCTTTTTTTGCCACCACATCACATTGTTGGCTCATATTTAACTTGTTGTCCACGAGGACTCCAAGATCTTTTTCACACGTACTGCTCTCGAGCCAGGCTGAGAATCAACCAAGTTCATCCCTGGCTTGTTGTTGAAGTGTTTGCAACAGAAGCTCTTTGGTCACACTGGAACTGCGGTTAAGGAGGTTATTAATATAATTATATTTAAGGAGAGTCAAGGCGGTTATGGTAAAACAGGTCTCTATAGTCACTTACAGACCCACAGCCAAGACCCTCCTTCTGGAAAACAATCACACTTGACCACGAGAGATCAATGATGATGGTGATGATGAAGATGACAAGACATTGCCTTTGTCTAAACATGTATAGTTACTTACTTAGGTGATCTCTTGTTGTCCAAATATGATGGCCATCCAAGTCTTGGCAATGGATACATAGGTGAATGTGGAGCCCTATTCTTGACCCACATGTTCTTCCACAGTGCGGGCATCGGTTTCCATGTGGAAGGAGGTCTTAGTCAGGGTTGGCTTAACATGCCTTCCTCTTGACACATTTCTCCCTTTCATCCTCCATTCATGCCTCTTCAAATTCTGTAGCACTGCTGGTCACAGCTGACCTCCAGTTAGAGTGCTGAAGGGCCAGGGTTTCCCAGTTCTCAGTGTCTATGCCACAGTTTTTGAGGTTGGCTTTAAGCCCATCTTTCAATCTCTTTTCCTTTCCACCAACATTTCCCATTCCTGAGTTGGGAGTATAGTAACTGCTTTGGGAGACGGTGATTGGTCATTTGGACAACGTGGCCAGTCCAGTAGAGTTGATAGCACAGGAGTATCGCTTCAATGCTGGTGGTCTTTGCTTCTTCCAGCACACTGAAATCTGTCCACCTGTCTGCCCAAGGAATTTGCAGGATTTTTCAGATGCAACACTGATGGAATTGTTCCAGGAGTTGGGTATGAAGTCTGTAAACAGTCCACGTTTTGCAGGCGTATAGCAGGGTTGGGAGGACAACAGCTTTATCAGCAAGCATCTTGGTATCCCTGCGGATGGTGGATCTCCCTACAACAGAAATAATTGGATTGAAACTCCTTGCCTCACTCATTTCTTTACCCAAGGAAGGAATTAATACTTCAATTTCCTACCTGATTGGAGAAAGACTGTGATAATTGGGCAGTAGTTGAAAACTGTATATTTATTCTGTGCAAAAATTGCAGGTAAGTGGGGGTTTTGGCACAGAAAATAGCATTTTTCTTTGGAACAAGAAACAGGTACCAAAATAATAATTTGGGATTTACTCTGATGTGGGATTATTATTTTTTGCACACAAGAGAATATTTCTGGAAATATAAGTATTTTTTCTATATGGAAAAGCACTCATTTTTATGCACAGAAAACTATTTTCTGCACAAATGAAGCATTAATTTTGCACAGAGTAAATAAAAAAATCCAGAATTACAAGAGTTCTCATTACCAGGAGTAGAATTCAAAACGATCTTAACAGATTAGAGAGATGGGCCAAAATTAACAAAATAAAGTTCAACAGCGACAAATGCAAGATACTTCACTTAGGCAGAAAAAAAATTAAATGCAAAGATACAGAATGGGGGACGATGCCTGGCTCAAGAGCAGTACATGTGAAAAACATCTTGGAGTCCTTGCGGATAAGAAGGTGAGCATGAGCCAACAATGTGATGAGGCAGCAAAAAAAAGTCAATGGGATTTTGGCCTGCATAGTCTAGATCCAGGGAAGTCATGCTACTTCTCTGTTCTGCCTTGGTCAGACCACACATGTGTCCAGTTCTGGGCACCACAACTGATGGGAGATGTTGACAAGCTGGAATGTGTCCAGAGGAGGGTGACTAAAATGATCAAGGTCCGGAGAACAAGCCCTATGAGGAGCAGCTTAGAGCTGGACATGTTTAACCTGCAAAAGAGAAGGCTGAGAAGGGACATAATGAAGGCCATGTATAAATATGTGAGGGGAATTCATAGGGAGGAAGGAGCAGGCTTGTTTTCTGCTGCCCTGGAGACTAGGATGCAGAACAATGGCCTCAGATTACAGGAAAGGAGATTCCACCTGAACATGAGGAAGAAAAGAACTTCCTAGCAGTGAGATCTGTTCAGCAGTGGAACTCTCTGCCCCAGAGTCTGGTGGAGGCTCCTTCTTTGGAGGCTTTTAAACAGAGACTGGATGGCTATCTGTTGTGGTGCTTTGAATGTGATTTTCCTGCTTCTTGGCAGGGGGTTCGACTGGATGGCCCATGAGGTCTCTTCCAACTCCATGATTCTATGATTCATCACTGCAGGATTTTCAGCATCAGTATGTCTCAATGCTTGTGAAAACCACTTTTTCAACCATTTTAAACTATTTCCGAATACGCTAATCAAGGTGGCCAATTGCAACACTCACACTTGCCTCAAACATACAAGAGTTCTTTCTCCCACCCTTTACAAATCAGGACAATAACTAAAGAACAACACTAAAAAGGAGGGATATTCATACAGGAAACAATCAGGGCCAGCTAACACCTCCCAATAAAAGGATCCTCCAGGCAGGAAGCAGCCAGGCTTTGAAGGTACAAGGCCATTCAATTTATATGTTTATTTATTTATTTACAGCTTTTCTATTCCGCCCTTCTCACCCCGCAGGGGACTCAGGGCGGATTACAGTGTACACATATATGGCAAACATTCAATGCCAATTTTTGACATACAAACATATACAGACATACACAGAGGCTATTTAACTTTTTTTTCTGGCCACCAGGGGAGCTGTCACTTTCATTGTCCATCTGTGACGCTGATGAAGCACTTCCGCATTTCCCGCATGCTTCCCCGCTGGAATGCTCTGCTGGAGTCTTCTTTATGGCCTCATAAATCAGTTAATTTAGCCTCCCCACACTTTAAGGTGGTACCTTATTTTCCTACTTGACAGATGCAACTGTCTTTCGGGTTGCAAAGGTCGACAACAGGCTACACACAATTGGTTGGAAACCCACTCCAACCCAGGCTGGCTTCGAACTCATGACCTTTTTGGTCAGAGCAATCTTAATGCAGCTGACACTCAGCCAGCTGCGCCACAATCCTGGTGCCAATTAAGGTGGCCAATTGCAACATTCACACTTGCCTCAAGCAGACAAGAGTTCTTTCTACCACTCTGGACATTCCACAGATATATAAACCTCACTTGCCTAGTTTCCAACAGACCTCACATCCTCTGAGGATGCTTGTCATAGATGTGGGTGAAACATCATAAGAGAATGCTTCTGGAACATGGCCAGACACACAGCAACCCAGTGATTCTGGCCATGAAAACCTTCAACAACATGTTTCTGAATATTCTATACATCCCTCCTCCCCGTGGCCATGGCCCAGGCATTGGGCCCTCCAGGTGTTTTGGACTTCAACTCCCAGAAATCCCAGCCAGCTTACCGGCTGTTAGGAATGGTGGAAGTTGAAGCCCAAAACACCTGGAGGGCTGATGTTTGCCCATGCCTGCCCTAAGTAAAGGTATAGGTTTTCCCTTGACCTTAAGTCCAGTCGTGTCCGACTCTGGGGTTTGGTGCTCATCTCCATTTCTAAGCCAAAGAGCCAGTGTTGTCAGCAGACTCCAAGGTCAGGTGGCCAGCATGACTGCATGGAGCGCCGTTAACTTCCCGCTGGAGTGGTACCTATTGATCTAATGCTACCCCTCTATTCCGCTTTGGTTAGACCACACCTGGAATATTGTGTCCAATTCTGGGCACCACAATTCAAGAGAGATGTTGACAAGCTGGAATGTGTCCAGAGGAAGGCGACTAAAATGATCAAGGGTCTGGAGAACAAGCCCTATGAGGAGCGGCTTAAGGAGCTGGGCATGTTTAGCCTGAAGAAGAGAAGGCTGAGAGGAGATTATAGCCATGTATAAATATGTGAGAGGAAGTCACAGGGAGGAGGGAGCAAGCTTGTTTTCTGCTTCCTGGGAGACTAGGACGTGGAACAATGGCCTCAAACTACAAGAGAGGAGATTCCATCTGAACATGAGGAAGAACTTCCTGACTGTGAGAGCCGTTCAGCAGTGGAACTCTCTGCCCCGGAGTGTGGTGGAGGCTCCTTCTTTGGAAGCTTTTAAACAGAGGCTGGATGGCCATCTGTCAGGGGTGATTTGAATGCAATATTCCTGCTTCTTGGCAGGGGGTTGGACTGGATGGCCCATGAGGTCTTTTCCAACTCTTTGATTCTATGATTCTACTCACATTTGCATGTTTTCGAACTGCTAGGTTGGCAGAAGCTGGGGCTGACAGCGGAAGCTCACGTCTCTCCCTGGGTTTGAACCTGCAACCTTCCAGTCAACAAGTTTAGCAGCTCAGCGGTTTAATGCACTGCACCACCGAGGGCTCCCTATGCTGCCCTGGTCCCAGCATAACAAGTGGAGATGAATGCTGGGAGCTGCAGTCCTGCAACATCTGGAGAACTGCATGATTCCCACCTAAGCAAATTGGGATTGGAAAGCATCTGCTAGAATGTGTATGAGAGAGAGGCTGGGAGAGAGAGAGATGGTATGGGTAGCTGGCTAAGGACCTGCTTCGTATGCCTTTAATCTCCCCCCACCTTTGGGAAGAGCATCTCTTTTCTTTGCAGTAAGGCGAGGACCGCGTGGCTCACTTGGGGAGGAGGAAAGAGAGGGTGACAGGAGAGGCAACGGCTGGAGAAACACAGAGAGGTCTCTCCACTCAAGCTTGCTGGGCCGCTTTCCAAGCCCCCTTCTGCACGCTTGGTGCAGAAAGCCAAGCAGCGGAGATGTCTTCGGAGAAAACAGGTGAAGGGATGATGGAGGGGATGAAGGCTTACCTTTCTTCTGTATGTCAGTTTAGGTGGGCAGTCTGTCGCTGCTCCTTGCTTGACCGGCCTTCTGGGCCAGCCGTGTCTCTTGCGCTGCAGGATGACATCGAAAGGGGATTTCAAATTATATGCTTTTAATATATTTCTATACAGAACTATTTGCATACAGCTGTGCGTGTGTGTGCAAGCATGCGTCTGCAGTGGAAATAAAATGTCTTTGTGACATGTTGTCAGGAGGCAATTGCATTCATGTGGTGCATGTTAAACATACAAAAACTGGGGAGTGCATGTGTAATGCTTCGCTTAGGTAGAGTTTCTGGCTGCAGACAGGAAACAAACGCAGCAGGCTAGGAATCGATACCACAAATAATATTAGTGGGTTGTTGTAGGTTTTTCAGGCTATATGGCCATGTTCTAGAAGCATTCTCTCCTGACGTTTCACCTGCATCTATGGCAAGCATCTTCAGATAGATGCAGGCGAAATGTCAGGAGAAAATGCTTCTAGAACATGGCCATATAGCCCGAAAAACCAACAACAACCCATTGATTTCAGCCATGAAAGCCTTTGACAAATGCCATTAGGTTGTGCATATGCTCACAGAGTGGCCTGCCATATGTATTGAGCATATATGTTACTGTTTCAATTGTGGAAATTGTATTGTCGAAGGCTTTCATGGCCGGAATCACTGGGTTGTTGTTTGTTTGGCTATGTTCCAGAAGCATTCTCTCCTGACATTTCACCTGCATCCATGACAGGCATCCTCAGAGATTGTGAGGTCTGTTAGAAACTAGGGAAATTGGGTTTATATATCTGTGGAATGACCAGGATGGGAGAAAGAACTCTTGTGTGCTTGAGGCAGTGTGATTGTTGCAAATGGCCACCTTGATTAGAATTGAATTGCCTTGCAGCTTCAAAGTCTGGCTGATTGCTGCCTGGGGAATCCTTTGTTGGGAGGTATTAGCTGACCCTGATTGATTCTTTGTGCAAAATTGCCTTCAGGCTATGTGTATAAGGTGTATACGCAATATAAATAAATTTCATGTTTAGACCTGAATCTAAACATACTTCCTTATGTGCATACTCTCCTGAAACATCAGGAGAGAATGCTTCTGCAACATGGCCACACAGCCCAGGAAACACACAACATGGTGTGGAAAATGCAGGTGAAGGGATGTAGCCGAAAGCTGCCTTGTCAGTTATTTGACGAAAAATTGAGAAATACTCATTTTTTTTTTTTTGCAGTCAACGCAAATCAAGGCTGATTCAGGATATTTAAGTGCCTATGGCAGAGTAGCGAATGGGCATTCACTCAACTATTCTGCCTTCCATCACGACAAGGTGCATAAGGGTCGATTACAAGCCAAATTATTCTGGTACATGAAGCAGAAAATCCCATTTCCCTCCATCCCTTTCTGTAAAAGATCCCCAAAAATGGTAATGTTAATCCTGAAGAAAGTATCGTCCTTTTGTGACTGTCAAACCCACTTGCCTGAGGCGGCTGCTTCACTTTGCTTACCAGCCAAGCCAGTCTTGATGGAGGCCTCCGAACACATGCATGCACTCTTGTGCATTTCTGGGCTTGCATCCGATGTGCACAGAAAGGAGGACAGGGATTGGGTTTGAAGCTGAAAGATTGTGGTGTTACGGAACATATCCGCACAGGTCACTGGCACCTGTGTGTCTGTGAGTGTGATGCACCTTCCGTGTGTGTCAAAGGTGTCAGGCTTGGCATGACAGAGGCACCATGTCTGGGTCAAAGTGTGCGAGTGCGCATCTCCCTTGGTGATGTCATCCATTATGTGTGTGCCGTGCCAAGTGTGAAACTGTACACGGGACCAGACTGGTGCGGAGCTGTGACTGATACGATGCGACTTGACAAATGGAGCCATTCCTATTTATGCTGCTGCATCAAAGCTTGCAAAGAGGGTTACGTGTCTACTCCAAGCTTCAGGGAATCTGTGTCGGCGTGGGAGAGGGACAGACAGCGTGCTTTCCATTGTGAAGCAAATTGCAGCCGATGTGATGGGGACTGTGTGGTGTCGTCTCTTTGTGCTGGGTTTTATGGTTGAATCAGAGGTGTTTTCGATGGCTTTCATAGCCAGAATTATTGGGCTGCTGTGAGTTTTCCAGGCTGTCTGGCCATGTTCCAGAAGCATTCTCTCCTGACGTTTCACCCACATCTATGGCAGGCATCCTCAGAGGTCGAGGGGTCTTTTGGAAACTAGGCATGTCCATAATGAAATGTCAGGAGTGAAATTTCCAGCCATGCAGTCCAGAAAACTCACAGCAACCCAGTGAATCAGAGGTGTTCATAGAAATCTTATTACCTGGAGTAGTCTGCTAAAACAATTGTTGAAAGCTGAGTCAGCCTGCAGGGAATTGATTCAATAGGACTAACAATAAGATTTAAGCACACGTGTCTGGGAATTTGCGGGTTATGAAAAGCACCACAGAAAGCTAACCTTACTGAGTCAGACCACTAGTCTATCTAATAAGCACTGTCACCTCTGAGCAGTATCAAAGGCTGCCCAGGATTTCAAGCAGGATTAGTTATTAACCTAGATATATCATTTGGAGAAAAGAAGGCTGAGAGGGGACATGAGAGTCATGTTTAAATATTTCCAATAATGTCACATTGAGGAGGGGACCAGCTTGTTCTGCTGCTCTGGAGACTAAGACATGGATTCCTTGCAGGAAAAAAAGATTCCACCTAAATCAGTGTTTCTCAACCTAGAGCCCTGTGGGGGGTTGGGTCCTGAGGGGGTGTCAGAGGGGTCACCAAAGACCATCAGAAAACACAGTATTTTCTATTGGTCATGGGGTTTCTGTGTGGGAAGTTTGGCCTAAATCTATACTTGGTGGGGTTCCAAATACTCTTTGATTGAAGGTGAACTATAAATCCCAGCAACCACAACTCCCAAATGAGAAGGACTATTTCCCCAAAACTCCACCAGTATTCATATTTGGGCGTACTGAGTATTTGTGCCAAGTTTGGTCCAGATCCATCATTGTTTGAGTCCACAGTGCTCTCTGGATGTAGGTGAACTACAACCCCAAAACTCAAGGTCAATACCCACCAAACCTTTCTAGTGTGTCCTGCTGGTCAGGGGAATTCTGTGTGCCAAGTTTGGTTCAATTCCATCATTGGGGGAGTTCAGAATGCTCTTTAATTGTAGGTGAACTATTAATCCCAGCAACTACAACTCCCAAATGACAAAATCAACCCTCACCCTCCAACCCCACCAGTATTCAGATTTGGTCGTATTGGGTATTTGTGCCAAATTTGCTCCAATGAATGAAAATACATCCTGCATATCAGATATTTACATTGTGATTCATAACAGTAGCAAGGTTACAGTTATGAAGTAACAACCAAAATAATTTTATGGTTGGGGGGTCAGCACAACATGACGAAGTTGTATTAAGGTGTCACGGCATTAGGAAGGTTGAGAACCGCTGACCTAAATATTAGGAAGAACTTCCAAAGGGTAAGAGTTGTTTGGCATTGGAAAATGCTGCATTGGATTGTGGTAGAGTCTTCTCTGGAGGTTTTCAATTAGGGTTCAGATGGTCATCTGTTGGGTGTGCTTCGATAGTGTGTTCCTTTAAAGCAGAATGGGTTTGGACTGAATGTCCCTTGTAGTCTCTTCCAACTCCGATTCTGTGATTCTAACCTTACTGAGTGATCCCAGTTTAACCCGATAGTATTCCACCCAAATACTTTTCCAACCTGGCCTTGCTTAGCTTCTTAACTTCTAAAATTGACAGAGTTCTACGCATTCCGAATGATATGGTAGTCCACACCACCACAACTAAGAGATTTGTGAGCGTAACACATTAGAGAGATTATTGGTCAAAACTAAAAAAATGAAGTTCGACAGGAACAAATGCAAGATACTCCACTTAGGCAGAAAAAAATGAAATGCAAAGCTACAGAATGGGGGATGCATGGCTCAAGAGCAATACGTGTGAAAAAATCTTGGAGTCCTCGTGGGGAGGAAGGTGAACATGAGCCAACAATGTGATGCGGCGGCAAAAAAAGCCAATGGGATTTTGGACTACATCAATAGGAGTCTAGTGTCTAGATCTAGGGAAGTCATGCTACCCCTCTATTCTTCCTTGGTTAGACAACATCTGGAATATTGTGTCCAATTCTGGGCACCACAATTGAAGGGAGATGTTGACAAGCTGGAATGTGTCCAGAGGAGGGCGACTCAAATGATCAGGGGTCTGGAGAACAAGCCCTATGAGGAGCGGCTTAAAGAGCTGGGCATGTTTAGCCTGCAGAAGAGAGGATTGAGAGGAGACATGATAAGGGCCATGTATCAATAGGTGAGAGAAAGTCATAGGGAGAAGGGGGCAAGATTGTTTTCCACTGCCCTGGAGGCTAGGATGCAATGGAGCAATGGCTTCAAACTACAGGAAAGGAGATTCCATCTGAATATTAGGAAGAATTTCCTGACTGTGAGAGCTGTTCAGCAGTGGAACTCTCTACCCCGAAGTGTGGTGGAGGCTCCTTCTTTGGAAGCTTTTAAACAGAGGCTAGATGGCCATCTGTTGAGGGTGGTTTGAATACGAAATTGCTCTGCTTCTTGGCAGAGGATTGGACTGGATGGCCCACGAGGTCTCTTCCAACATGATTCTATGATCTAATGCAGTGGTTCTCCCCACATGTTTTGGTCTGCAACTCCCAGAAATCCCAACCATTTTACCAGCTGTTAGGATTTCTGGAGTTGAAGTCCAAAATATCTGAGGATCCACAGGTTGTGAATCAATGGTTTGAGCATTGGATGATGACTGGAGACCAGGGTTTGAATTTTCCGTTAGAATCAGAGAGGTGGAAGAGACTATTTCATGATCATTAGATCTTCCTAATGATCATGGATACACACTGGGGTGACATCTGGCAAGACTCAGGCCCCTTCTACACTGTCCTTATATCCTAGGATTTGACCCTGGTTATCCGCTTTGAACTG